GTGATTCCAAAGCGGTTTAGGAGGGTGAACCAGGAAAAAATGATTTGACAGTTGAAACACAGTTTAAAGTTCTTACAACCTCTGTTTTATTGGGTAATTAAAATATCCAATTTCCTTCACAGGCTGTGCAACGATGGCATGGCCAACGTCAATGTCTGTAAGTATCTGCCCCGGGTCCTTCAGAAAAAGAATCAGACTGTTTTTTCAGAGACAGAGCCTGGGGAACGGGAACATAACTTGTGCTTCTCTTCCAGCTGTGGTGGGCAGGACGACTGTCTCTGGAGGCAGAGGAGGCATGGGAGGCGGATTCGGAGGCAGCGGCATGGGAGGAGGATTCGGAGGCGGCAGCTGTGGAATGGGAGGAGGATTCGGAGGCGGCAGCAGCATGGGAGGAGGAATGGGAGGAGGCATCTGTGGAGGAGGCAGCAGCTTTGGAGTAGGCAGCATGGGTGGCAGCTGTGGGATGGGGGGAGGAATGTACGGTGGCGGCTTCTCCTCTGGAAGCGGAAGGATGTGCGGCTCTGGTGGGGGATCCTCCTCCGTGCGGAGATGCGTCACCACCACCTCGGTCAAATCTTCGGGAGTGAGATTCTGAGCCCCGAAGGTTGACAAGGAAAGAAGCACCTCCTCTCTCCTCCTGACAGCAGCCCAGCCTCCTGAAGCCCAGCTCTGGTGTCCTGCAATGGGATGAACTGTGTCCCTCCCACCCAGCTTGTCCCAGATCCTGGTCCCACCCGGTGGTTTGGTGGCGATGCTGTGGGTGTCCCGGCACCGGGAGCTGCCTGGCAGGAGGGGCTGCTCTGCCTTCCTTGCTGTGTTGTACATTTCTTTTGGCAAATGTGTATAAAACTCCTCTTTCCTCCTCTTTCCTCCTGTTCTGTGTCCCTGGGGTGCTTCTGTGTATGTCCATCCTGCTATTCCCTTTGCAGGCCTTTGGGGTCAGGGTGGGTGTGGTGCAAGTAGGACTCGTCCCTTGGGGAGGGGCCATCTCAAGTGGAGGCTAGAGGGAGGAGCTGGCCCAGGGTGGAGTTTCTGGGCAGCTTTGCTTACTTAGTAGCCCCTGGTGTGCTGCCAGAACAGCTTCCCCAGAGCTCCAGCTTTCATTCCACATATCTCGGCTCTCAGTGACACCTGGGACACCTCACACACACCTGGACTATTCCTAAGGAGAACAAAACTATCCTTCAGTGCCTGGCTTCCATGACACAGTGCAGATGTAGTGTCCCCACCTCCCCCCCTCCTCTGTGGGCTGCCCTCCTTCCTCGGGATGTTGCCATTCCCAATAAATTGCAGAGAATATTCATGATGTTGTTGTGTTGCTGCTTTGGGAGCTGCTCTGGGCAGGGTGGGAGAGGGGGTTGTTCTCCTGCCTGTCTCTGTCTTTTGAGGGAACAGATCAGTGGTGGGGATGGATCAGGGCAGGTGCCCCAGCTCAAGATGATGCTCTTGACTCTCACCTGGAGGCACAAACCTATATCTGGAAAGGTGGAGGTCTGGATCCTCCAGCTGAACAATGAGAAGTAAGATCCCAGGTGGGAGACCTGGAATCATTGAATAATGGAATGGTTTGGATTGGAAGGGACCATAAAGATCATCCAATTCCAACCCCCTGCCATGAACAGGGACACCTTCCACTACATGTGAGGTGTCACACCCCTTGGATCAACCAATGTAAATAAGTTGCTGCTTCTAAGGTTCCTTCGGAGTCATCTCCAGCTGCAGGAGACTTTGGTCTGTGTTAGGCGAAGGAGATGGCACCAGTGTTGCCCTGTGCAGTGGTGGGAGGGCAGGTGAATATGGATCAGGATGTTGGTGAAGCACCTGCCACTGGCTGCAGTCAGCCATCAACTCATCGGCCCCAGGATGAGCCATGATTACAGCCATGGGAACACGACGGGCTGGGAGGGTGATTCATCCCCATCCATGAGCTCAGTTACCATCCTCTCCCTGAGAAGCTGATTAGTTCCCCAACGGCTCATCCTTGCTCCAAGAGCAGGAGGGAGAGATTTGGAGGAACTCAAGGAGAGGGTTTGGGAGGGGAGTCCAAAGTGTTTGATCCATGGTTCCTCCTCCACCTGGAGAGATCAAAGAGGCAGAAAATGCTGTCACTGGTGGCTCAGGAGTCCCACAACAGCCTCTGGGAGTTGCTGATGTTCCTAGAGTGGGACAGGAAGCTGCAGACCGAGGGAGAGGTCCAGGAAAGGCAAGAGGGAATGACTACAGGCTTCTTGGAAGAGAGAATTATCCCACTGGAAGCTCAGCAGGAGGGTGCCAGGGTTGGGGAACGTGGCTGGGTTTAGCCCAACAAGAAGATGCTGAGAAGGCTCAGAAGCTGGTGTTGTGCCAGGAGCACTTTGAGGTTTGGCTTGGGGCAAGAGTCACTTGTTTTGGCGCTTAATTTTAAGAGTCTGTTTCTTCTCAGCTTTAAAATCCAGAACACAGCCTTGTAGTACCATATGAGGAGTTGTTGTAACACCTCCTCTGTGCAAGATCCATGACGGAAGCTCTTGGCTGGGTCAGATGTGAAGCCGGAGTGTGGCTTTGGTCTCCATCCATGTTTTCTGCCGAGTTCACATTTTCCCTGGTGTTGATCTTACCGTGTTCAACTCCTTGTGCAAGAGATCTGAAGGATCAGTTTGGTGTTGAGTCTCACCTGAAGGAGGCTGAAGTGACTCCAGGTTTGGAATAATCTGCACATCTTGTCTGAAGATGTCAGAGTGACTCAATCTGGGCGTCTTATCTGCAGGAGCTGAGCGTGGTCAGCACCCAGGCATCTGGCTGACTTTGCAGATCTTCCTCCTCATTTTGGAACCTCCTTGTGGGATATTCCAGTGAAGTCCTGGTGCCTTCATACCATGGGTTTGGCTGTTGGGAGGGAGGCCAGGAGAAGGGACAACCTGTTTTCTCCACCTAAACCCGAGCCATGCTGCAGCTGCCCCAGGCTGCTCGTCATGAGCAAGTGTGCTGGGCTGCAGGATGGTCTGGAGAGCTTAAATGTCCCTGTGGGAGATGACCATGGAGAAACCAGCCCATCTTGATTGCAGCTGCTTTTGGAAAGTAAGGTGGCCCCTCTGTGCTTTGGGGGTGCTGTCCATTCTCCAGCTGCAGGAACACACACCTTTGTAACCTCTGGCCAACCACTGGTTGCCCTCAAATCTGGATAACCTTATCCCTCAAGGGTGGGACAATCCTTGGCCAGCTCTTACCTGAGTCCCTTGAGAGGGGGATAACTCTTGACTACCCAGGAGCTAGGAGTGGGATAACTCTTGTTCAAGTGTTACTGAGCCCCCAGGAGTGGCATAACTCTTGTCCAACTGTTGAGTCTCCCAAGGGTGGGATAACCCTCAGCTAACCATTGACTCCCTCAAGGGGAATGTTCTCCCCTTTCTGTTCCATGCAGACCAGGGGGTTCAGTACCCCTGTCCCAGTGACAGTCAGGGACATTTCAGTTTTTGATGCCTCTTGTTACTTTCAAACCACATTTAGTTGCCTACATCTCTTTGGGGACTCTGAAAATTCCTTCTGAAGTTCTGTGTTCATATACAGGTCTTTTGAATGGCCTTAAATTCATGTTTCAAGGGCTACAATGTGCATTTTCTGTCATTTTTTTCATTACTTGTGCTGTTTTCTAGGAAAATGTGAACATTCATTTTATATTTAATTCATTGAATTATTCAGGTATTTAATTGATAATATCCAGGTAGATAAAACCTTTAGAATGCCTCTTAAATAGTATTTACAGACTTGGCTTCCTTTTAAACTAGAATCTACTTTTTTTGGAACACATTGATATTATTTGTATTTTCTGTAATTAATTAAATTTCATTTACATGTAACACAAAAAAAGGGATTTATTTCAGAGACATTCTCTAAAATACATTTCTAAACCACATTCCTAAACCACATTCCTTTCCCAATAAATTATTTGGAAGCAAAAGGTTATACTGTGCCTTGGGGGTTGTAACAGCTCCATTTCTCAGCAGGTTTTTCCATGTCAGTCATCTCATTTTTGGGAAAAAACAGGTTATTCAGAGGTTGTGGGATTCACCAGAGTAGCAGGAACCCCTTACCACTTCAAATTGCTCATCTGTCGCTCCTCTTCCATAGTGCTTGTCTGTCTGTCCCTGACATTGTCGCCAAAGGATTCCCAATGTGTCCCTTCATTCTTCCTCAAGTTGTCACTCCCTGTCACCCTCAGAACATTGAGGAGAGCGTGATGATTCCAGTCACATTCTTCCCTCTGCTTCAGCATCATCCAAAGCCCCAGCTGGTTGTCTCAGATTTGCGGAGTTGCAAGTGGAGGGAATTTAGTCTGCAGGCAGAAGACACTCCCATTGTAGTGGCACCACATGCTCCAAGGAGATGTTTTTCCTCTCTAGCAGGAGAATATGCTGAGTCTCCTCAAATTCTGGTGTCGTGAATTCCCATTCGGGATTGGGAAACATCTCCTGAAACACAAATGCAATTTAACATATAAAAAGGAGATTAAGGGTGTGTGTAAGGAATTGTGAAAGCCATATTATAGCTGGGATTTCATCAAAACTTTGTCTTTCTGTGGAGCTTTGATAGGGAGATGTCTATCAGGAATTATTGGGAACCACTAATGAGGGCTAGGTAGCCAATGAGGGGCTGCAGGAAAGGGGTTTATGAATAAAATTGATTTCCAAGATGTCATAAAGATACGAGAGTTCACTTAGTCATGGAGACGTGTCTCGATGCTCTCGTTTTATTCACCTCTAGATTACAGGGCGTGTTTCTGGGCAGCCCCAAATATGGCAAAGCTCATGGAGAATCTGTCAACATCCCCGTGCTGATGAAAATACTAAATTGCTTTCCACCTTCACGCCCAAGCTGTCCCAGCCCACCTCCAGCAGTGGATAAAAGGGAATGCCCGAAGCTGTTGGAATCAGAGAAGACTCTGCAGACTTCTTTCTGCCCTCATCAACTTCGTTGGTCTTTCTGCTCTTCTGGATTTTGATTCTGCTTGGAAAAAACCAGCCATGTCTCGTCAGTCTGTCTGCAGGAGCTTTGGAGTCGGGGGGAGAAAGGGATTCAGCTCCTGCTCTGCTGTTGGTGGTGGATTTGGAGGCGGTGGTGGCCGGAGCAAGATCAGTTACAGCTCGTACTCCTCATCCCGGGGAGGAAGCGGAGGAGGACACTGTGGGGGGTTCAGTAGCCGGAGCCTCCATAGCACGGGGGGCAGCAGAAGGATTGCCATGGGTGGATGTTATGGTGGTGGTGGCAGGATGGGTGGCTTTGGTGGAGGAATGAGCTGTGGAGGGATGGGTGGTGGTGGAATGGGTGGTGGAGGAATGGGAATGGGTGGCTTTGGTGGTGGAATGTGTGGTGGAATGGGTGGTGGAGCAGGAATGGGTGGCTTTGGTGGTGGAATGGGCAGTGGGGGAATGGGTGGAATGGGTGGCTTTGGTGGTCCAGGCTTCCCTGGAGGCATCCAGCCGGTGCAAGTTGACCCCAGCCTCCTGCGGCCAGTCCATGTTGAGATTGACCCCCAGATCCAGCAAGTCAAAACCCAGGAGAAGGAGCAGATCAAGACCCTGAACAACCAGTTCGCCTCCTTCATTGACAAGGTGAGAGTTTAGGACGGGGTTTTTTTGGAGGTGGAATGTCAAACAACTTCCTTGGGGTATGAACTGGGAATTTTTTCACCTGCCAACAGTTGCTGGAGTTGTCAGACCAATGCCTCAGCATCAAATTGTAATTAATCAGGTTTACTTAATAAGTAACACTGAACAATAGAGGAGGTTTTGTGCTAATGGAAGATTAAAGAGAACCGCAGAATATTCTTGGGATAGTCTAGCTAAGGCACTTCTTCAGCCTCATTTGAGTGATTCAGGGCAAAGTCATCATTTTAAATTTAATTGTCCTAAGAGTTCTTATTGCTGGGATTTGCTTTTTGATGAAACTTTCTTCTCAAAGCCTGATTCTAGAAACTGCAGAGCATTAAACACCTATCCAAAATGCTTGGATTATTTTGATTTCAAATAGAAGCCAAAGAAATAAAGATTCTCTCCCAAGAGAATGCATGGGCAGTTAGAGAATAAAAATTTCATCTTTCTTGACTTCAGTGCCGGAAACATGATGGCAAAGTCCAATCCTGATGCTATGGAAAATTGGGATGATGTTTTCTACTGGGAACATTGCTTTGTCCCCAGGGGAGAAGTTCAGAGTGACTCAAAACTTAATTGTCTAATAATAAATAAATTAAATAACGCTTCACATGCACTTCAGGAGCTTGAATGCCTGAATGAGACATAGATGGGGAATGACTCCCTGGGCTCCCAAATCTCCCAGGAGTGGGATGTCTCTCTGGTGAATATCTCACACACCCTTTGTGGCTGTAGGTCCGATTCCTGGAGCAGCAGAACAAGGTGCTCTCCACCAAGTGGGAGCTGCTCCAGCAGCAAGGGCCATCAGGGCCGAGGAAGAACCTGGATGTGATCTTTGAGAATTACATCCAGAACCTTCGGAGGCAGCTGGAATCAATCCTGGCACAGCGGGGCCAGCTGGAATCAGAGCTGCAGAACATGAGGCAGTACGTGGAGGAGTTCAAAACCAAGTGAGTGTGGGGACAGACAGGGAGGGAAAAGCTGGGAGAGTGGAGCTGATGCGGAGACCCCGCGGGTGGAATGACCAGGGGTCTCAGAGTGTCACCTTGTCCTGCCCCTGCCACAGGTACGAGGAGGAGATCAACCGTCGCACGGCTGCTGAGAATGAGTTTGTGGTGCTGAAGAAGGTGAGTCTGGAAGACATCAGCAGGGACAGGGTGAGGGGGGACAGGAGGTGAAGACATGGGAAGGACTTAGCTCCAAGATGGGCAGGTCCCAACAGAAAGAGCCATTGTGCGATGAAAGGAAGCCATGGTTCAATTCTGAGATCTTTTCTTTAGGATGTGGACTGTGCCTACATGACCAAAGTTGAGCTGGAAGCCAAGGTGGGAGCTCTGACAGATGAAATCAACTTCCTGAGGTGCATCTACGAGGAGGTAAGAGCTCTCTCCTTCTCTTGCTGAAGTTTTAATGGGGGTGTGGTGAACAAAGTCACTGAGGTTGGACTGGGTGTCTTTGGGTTTGATCTGGAGAGGTTGCCTGGAGCTACTGCTCTTCTCTCCCCTCAAGAGACGGTGCCTCTGACTCATGTCTTGGTTGCAGGAGCTGTCTCAGATGCAGACAATCAGCCGGGACCTGTCCGTGGTGGTGTCCATGGACAACAACCGGCACCTGGACCTGGACAGCATCATCGAGGAGGTTCGGCGCCAGTACGAGCAGATTGCCCAGAGCAGCCGGGCTGAGGCTGAGGCCTGGTACCAGAGCCGGGTGAGTTGGGAAGGACTTGAGGCTCCTGGGACAATCCCTGCTGTTTGAACCACCTGAGCTTTTGGTCAGTTGTGTTCCTGATGGGTGTGTTTTTCCCCATGTCTCCAGTACGAAGAGCTCCAGAACACTGCTGGAAAACACGGGGACAGCCTCCGCAACACCAAGATTGAGATCCAGGAGCTGACCAGGAACATTCAGAGGCTGCGGGCTGAGATTGAGAACGTGAAGAAGCAGGTACGGGACCATCAGGGCCTCCTTGAGTGTGTGCTGAATCAGGATGGGACTGGGTGGTGAGAGAGAGAGCAATAATGAAAATGCATGCTCTTTGGAGAAGATGGATTATGTCTATCTGTTTTCCCTCCAGTTTGTGCCCTGAGGATGCTCCAGTAGAGGGTGGGCAGAAGGGATCTCACACACTGGTTTTCTCTTCCTCAGAACCAGCAGCTTCAGTCAGCCATTGCTGAGGCTGAAGAGAGGGGGGAGATGGCCATCAAGGATGCCAGAAGGAAGCTGGAAGAGCTGGAGACTGCCCTGAACAAGGACAAGGAGGAGCTGGCTCGCCTGCTGAAGGAGTACCAGGAGTTGCTGAACACCAAAATTGCACTGGATGTTGAGATTGCCATGTACAGGAAGCTGCTGGAGGGGGAGGAGCACAGGTACTTAACTGGCATCTATTTGACTAAATACTTGACAGATGATAAGACGTGTGGGTAAAACCTTTGAATCCACACTAAAGACTGATTTTGTGTCATTCACTCTCTAATTCCCAAGTATATATTAATTATATTAAGCATAAACATACTTAAGTGGGTTTTCCATCTTAAAAGAATGTGAAGGCAAAGGTTGCTCATTTCTTTAAAGAATAATCAAAAAATTCTGAAAAAAAAATTGAGTTGGTTGCTAATTTTTTAAGGAATAATTGAAAAATGTAAACTTGTACAAGAAAGAGAAATTCTCTGCTGAAGAGCCATGTATTTCCCAGAGAAATAACTGGTCCCATTTTCCCTCACAGGCTGTGCAACGACAGCATGTCCAATGTCAATGTCTGTAAGTATCTGCCCTGGGGTCCTTCAGAAGTGGTAGAACTTGTTCTTTTGGGCAACAGGTGAGTAACCTCCTTGCTCCAAGAGCAGGAGGGAGAGATTTGGAGGAACTCAAGGAGAGGGTTTGGGAGGGGAGTCCAAAGTGTTTGATCCATGGTTCCTCCTCCACCTGGAGAGATCAAAGAGGCAGAAAATGCTGTCACTGGTGGTTCAGGAGTCCCACAACAGCCTCTGGGAGTTGCTGATGTTCCTAGAGTGGGACAGGAAGCTGCAGACCAAGGGAGAGGTCCAGGAAAGGCAGTGGGCTCTTGGAAAAGGGGCTTCTCCCCGCTTTGAAGGGTGCTGAAGCTGGAATTGTGGCTGGGTTTGGCCCAAATAAAGATGCTGAGTAGACAATGCCTGTGCGAAGCTGGTGTTGTGCCAGGAGCATTTTGAGGTTTGGCTTGGGGCAAGAGTCACTTGTTTTGGTGCTTAATCACCTGTTTCAGTGTATAATTTTAAGAGCCTGTTTCTTCTAAACTTTACAACAAACTTTACGTGGCGTTGTAGCGCTGCTGTGAAGAGTCATTGCAACACCTCCTCTGTGCTCTTGGTTGGGTCAGATGCGAAGCTGGAGCGCGGCTCGGTCTCCATCCATGTTTTCTGCCGAGTTCACATTTTCCCTGGTGTTGATGATTCTGCTGTGCACAGCTCCTTGCGCAAGACATCTGAGGGCATGGCTGGAGCCCAGCTGCCTGTCGAGTTTTACCTGGAGGAGACTCAGGTGACTCCAGGTTTGGAATAATCTGCACATCTTGTCTAAATACGTCAGAGTGACTCAATCTGGGCGTCTTATCTGCAGGAGCTGAGCGTGGTCAGCACCCAGGCATCTGGCTGACTTTGCAGATCCTCCTCGTTGTGGAACCTCCTTGTGGGATATTCCAGTGAAGTCCTGGTGCCTTCATACCATGGGTTTGGCTGTTGGGAGGGAGGCCAGGAGAAGGGACAACCTGTTTTCTCCACCTAAACCCGAGCCATGCTGCAGCTGCCCCAGGCTGCTCGTCATGAGCAAGTGTGCTGGGCTGCAGGATGGTCTGGAGAGCTTAAATGTCCCTGTGGGAGATGACCATGGAGAAACCAGCCCATCTTGATTGCAGCTGCTTTTGGAAAGTAAGGTGGCCCCTCTGTGCTTTGGGGGTGCTGTCCATTCTCCAGCTGCAGGAACACACACCTGGGTAACCTTTGGCCACCCATGACTTGTGTCCCTCAAGGATGGGATACCTCTTTGCCAACTGTTTAGTCCATTAATGGAGGGATAATCCTTGGCCAACTCTTGCATCCCTCAGTTGCTGAATAACTGTTGCCAACTGTTGAGTCCCTAAGGGTAGGATAATCTTGGCCAATATTTGAATCCCCGTGAAGGGTAATGTCCTCTTCTTCCTCCCATCCCACACAGTCTGTAGCTCCAGAAGCCTCATCCCAGTGACAATCAATAAAATTCATGTTTCTCATTCCTCCAGTGGCTTTTGGAAGTGTTTTGCTGGGCTGGCTTCCCAGAGTGTTTGCTGTGTCTATGGCCATCAGCTGATTCCTAGGGATGCTTTCAAACCACATTTACCTGACCAAATGTCTCCGGTGTGACCATGAAAACTCAACACATGCAACTGGGAAACTTAAAAATGGGATATTTTTTGATTGATGAAGTGCTTCAAGATATATATTTCCCTTGACTTTTATTCATGATTTTCAAGAAATAAGAATGAAGGAAATGTTGGTGTTTTTTACCAATAAAATCAATAAATGTAACAAAAATATTTATTTGATTAGTGAGGCTCAGAAGATACATCACAAGATGTCCTTCATGTGAGTGACCGAATCCACTGCTAGGGAGCTGGTACATGAAATTAAACATTATTGTCAGTCATCATTATAACATCTACTGCCTGGAGCGTCCTTTCCATCCTCTGTGGCTTGGCTTGACAATCCCTGTGGCCATTGGAAAAGCACAAGCAAAGAGTTGGACATCCTTGTTCTCTTGCTATGGTGCTCAGAATCCCAGGACCTGGTTGTCTCAGACTTTGTCGGACACATTTTGGAGGGAAAAATCCCACCTGATGCTCTTAGGAAGGAACTAAGCAGCTCCTTTCTGGTTAAAACAGAAATGCTGACCACTGTTAAGTGTTAATGATATGGCATTTTTCCACTTGGAAAGCCATCAAGAATTTTCTGCTTAACAAGGAGATGCGGTGTGTGCTTGGGGGAATTGTGAAAGCCTCATTCTATCTGGGTTTCACCAAAATCCTTGCCTGGTGTGGAATGTCAGCCAAAAATCTGGAATCAGACAACCTGTGGAGTCGTTAGGAGCAGGCAGGGAAGTGGGAGGAGGGAAGAACATGACAACATCACTGTAAAATATATTTTTCCAGATGACATAAAGATATGAGAGTCCACTTACTCACAGAGACCTGCCTCAGTGCTCCTGCGTTTCCCTCTGCATGGCGAAGCGGATTTCTGGGTGGAGTCACCAATTTGGCAAAAAATCTGTTAACCGCACCAAGCTGATGAAGACAGTAAATTTGTTTCCTCTTCACGCCCAAGTTGTCCCAGCCCACCTCCAGGAGCAGATAAAAGGGAATGCCTGGAGCTGTGGAGCCAGAGAAGACTCTGAGCACTTCTCTCTGCCCTCAGCACCAGCTCAGCTCTGTGGATCTCCTCATCTTCCCCAGTTTTGGCTCTTTGAGGAGAACCAGCCATGTCTCGTCAGTCTGTCTGCAGGAGCTTCGGAATTGGGAGCAAAAGGGGATTCAGCTCCTGCTCTGCTGTTGGTGGTGGCTTTGGAGGCGGTGGTGGCCGGAGCAGGATCAGCTACAGCTCGTTCTCCACATCCAGGGGGATTGGAGGTGGCAGTGGACGCTGTGGAGGATTCAGCAGCCGAAGCCTCCACAACCTGGGAGGCAGCACAAGGATTTCCATGGGCAGCTGTTATGGCAGTGGCTACGGATGTAGAATTGGTGGCTTTGGTGGAGGATTTCCAGGAGGATTTGGTGGCATTGGAGGAGGTGTCATTGGTGGAGGAATGGGCGGCTTTGGTGGCCCCATCAGAGGTGGCCCCGGGTTCCCTGGAGGCATCCAACCGGTGCAGGTGGACCCAACCCTCCTGCGGCCAGTCCACGTTGACATTGACCCTCAGATCCAGCAAGTGAAGTGCCAGGAGAAGGAGCAGATCAAGACTCTGAACAACCAGTTTGCCTCCTTCATTGACAAGGTGAGAGGTTGGAGCTGGATTTCCTTGGGAATGGGAAAACTGCAGAAATTCCTTGTGCTCTGGAGAAGGAAATATCATCCTTCTCAGCTCAGTGTTGGGCTGTGATTGTTTCCATTGGGTTCCATCTGGTTTCCTCATGAGGAAGTGTCAAAATTTAGCATCCACAGAGAAACTGAACAACTTTCTCCTGGTTTGGTGGATGGACACTGGTTTTCACTCCAGTGCAGACAGGTGAAAGAGATGGGGATTTACTCAGTGACCAAAGTCTGTCTTAAATCTGTCCTTTCTCTGGGATAATTTTTTCTCAAGGAACTTAAAATCTAGGAATGAAATTAAATAGATTCCCAACCATTTCTTCTTTCAGTTTAAGTGCAGATGAGCTCCCTTTAAATTATCCGAACTGGGAATGTTGGTTATAAGTGTGTCCATGTCTTTTAAATATATGATGTATATATGGAATAATTTTTGTGTCTGATAAGAGGAATGTTCTTGAACATAGAGACCAATAGGATTTCATTCACTGGTAGGTCAAAAAGGATCTGATGCTCCTGAAAACTAATGTAAAAAAATCCCAACTGGTATTGGAAATAATTTGAAAGATTGGAATGGAAGCATGTCAATAGCTACCTGCCACAAAAACAAAAAAAAAAACAAAAAAAAAAAAACCAAAAAAACCAAAAAACAAACAAAAAAAAAAAAACAAAAAAACCAAAAAACAACCAAACAAAAAAAAACAAAAACAAAAAAAAAAAAACCAACCCAGAGATATAGGAAGAGGAAAGAGGAATCTAAGGATAATGGGGAAAAAAAAGAGCAAAAAGGGAGGAAATTTCTCCTTGGAAGCAATGGGAAGGGTTTTGGGGAATGATTCCCATGGTCTTTCAAAGCTCCCAGGAGGTTTGAGCAGCAGGATGTCTCTCTGGTGAATGTCTTACACACCCTTTGTGGCTGTAGGTCCGATTCCTGGAGCAGCAGAACAAGGTGCTCTCCACCAAGTGGGAGCTGCTCCAGCAGCAAGGGCCATCAGGGCCGAGGAAGAACCTGGATGTGATCTTTGAGAATTACATCCAGAACCTTCGGAGGAGGCTGGAGTCTCTGCTGGGGCAGAGGAGCCAGCTGGAATCAGAGCTGCAGAACATGAGGCAGTACGTGGAGGAGTTCAAAACCAAGTGAGTGTGGGGACAGACAGGGAGGGAAAAGCTGGGAGAGTGGAGCTGATGCGGAGACCCCGCGGGTGGAATGACCAGGGGTCTCAGAGTGTCACCTTGTCCTGCCCCTGCCACAGGTACGAGGAGGAGATCAACCGTCGCACGGCTGCTGAGAATGAGTTTGTGGTGCTGAAGAAGGTGAGTCTGGAAGACATCAGCAGGGACAGGGTGAGGGGGGACAGGAGGTGAAGACATGGGAAGGACTTAGCTCCAAGATGGGCAGGTCCCAACAGAAAGAGCCATTGTGCGATGAAAGGAAGCCATGGTTCAATTCTGAGATCTTTTCTTTAGGATGTGGACTGTGCCTACATGACCAAAGTTGAGCTGGAAGCCAAGGTGGGAGCTCTGACAGATGAAATCAACTTCCTGAGGTGCATCTACGAGGAGGTAAGAGCTCTCTCCTGGGGGACTGGTGTTGCAATGAGGACGCCAAACATTGAGGTTGGACGGGGTGTCTGGGTGGATTTAGGCTTGAGATGATGCCTCTGACTCATGTCTTGGTTGCAGGAGCTGTCTCAGATGCAGACAATCAGCCGGGACCTGTCCGTGGTGGTGTCCATGGACAACAACCGGCACCTGGACCTGGACAGCATCATCGAGGAGGTTCGGCGCCAGTACGAGCAGATTGCCCAGAGCAGCCGGGCTGAGGCTGAGGCCTGGTACCAGAGCCGGGTAAGTTGAGCTCGAGACTCCTGGGACAGTCCCTGCTGTTTGAACCACCTGAGCTTTTGGTCAGTTGTGTTCCTGATGGGTGTGTTTGTCCCCATGTCTTCAGTACGAAGAGCTCCAGAGCACTGCCGGCCGGCACGGGGACAGCCTCCGCAACACCAAGATTGAGATCCAGGAGCTGTCCAGGAATGTCCAGAGGCTGCGGACAGAGATCGAGAATGTGAAGAAGCAGGTGGGAGTTGGCCAGTGTTTCATGGGTCCTTTCTGTTTTCCCTCCAGTTTGTGCCCTGAGGATGCTCTAGTAGAGGGTGGGCAGAAGGAATTAGGAAATTTACTTTCTTCTCCACAGAACCATCATCTGCAGTCAGCTATTGCTGAGGCTGAGGAGAGGGGGGAGATGGCCACCAAGGATGCCAGGAGGAAGCTGGAAGAGCTGGAATGTGCCCTGAGCAAGGACAAGGAGGAGCTGGCTCGCCTGCTGAAGGAGTACCAGGAGCTGCTGAACATCAAGATCGCACTGGACGTTGAGATTGCCATGTACAGGAAGCTGCTGGAGGGGGAGGAGAACAGGTGAGACCTTCCACCATGGGCTAGGCCAGGGTTCTGTTCCTCCTTGGGTGAGATGAATCTTTAATCATTCCTCACAAAACATGAACATTAAAATTTGACTACTTTCCTTTTTTCCTCCAAATTTTGAAGCCGAAACTGAAACATGGTCCCAACGGAGAATACTTCTCAGGGGGCTTGATTGATCTT